AGTGTCTCTATGGGTCATGAATGCTAAGTTATCCTCACTATTAAACCTCATTTACCAGTCTGAAAAACTTTCCACCATTGCTGATGCCTCTTGCCGTCGCACTGAGGGTGTTTGCGAAGACAAGGTGCCGGTGGGGTCCGTGGCTATTAGGGTTGCACAGACGTGTTGTGAGTAGGTTTACGTGGCCTGATTGCCAAGCTGGGAGCCTGTTTGTGTGTCCTGATTGCCAAGCTGGGAGCCCGCTTATGTGGCCTGGTTGCCAAGCTGGGAGCCCGCTTATGTGGCCTGATTGCAAAGCCCGTGGAAGCCTGCAAATGCTAACACAGTCATCGCTGGGCCCCAGCAGTGCTGCCCCGTGGGAAAGCTAATGGGGTGTGATTCCTGTAAGCTGGACCTGAGACGCATCACTGGGGCAGCCCACGAAGAAGTTTCTGTGGTTCCCTATAACCCTTACTTCCAACTTGCTTCTTTCTTCATTGTCAAAATCTTTCCCGAAAGAGCTCGGCACTCAACATCCCTCAGTGAAGTGGCCACATTTTTCCAAGAAACTGGGTGCCTGCCACCTTCCTGTTGAGAACAGAGGGGACTGAGTACTTCCAGACATCTGACCCTTCATTATAGGCGCCCATTTAAAAGCTTTATGCTGTTCTGAACATTTGGCTGTATTTATCGGCACTGAGACCTTTAAAAACAAAACGAAAAAACTCTGGCTCCTTCTGCTCAGTGCTGAGATGTCTCGTGTCCGCCTGGCCTTGGCAGCTGGTACCATGGGCTTCCTTCTTGGCTGACCGCTCGCACACCACAGCCTCTGTGGTCTGTTGACCATCTCTTTGCTGGATGTTGTGACAGCTGCAGTGCTCGCTGATGCGAGGATTAGTCCACTGGGAGGCACGTGACCTTTGGAACAGTGTTCTCATTTGACCTGCCCCTGATCAGGAGGCATTTTAGCGCATAAAAATAACACCCTGCACCAATGCTGCAGAAGGGTGCACGTCCCGAGTGCCATACAAACAGGGGAAGGGAGGTTGTCGGGCAATGTAACGTGAGCCCACGTACTGTACGTGCGCACAGACTTCGCTGCAGCCCGCACGAGCGTGTTGAGTTACAAGCTCCGGCACCACGTAGATGCGGCGGTCATTAGCCAGTAAGCTAACAAAGACAGGTTCCTGGCTAGTTTTACTGGCAATACTTGATAGAAGAAAAGAAAGACACAGTGCCAGGAGTTGCCTAATGTAAAACACTGGACAAATAACTGATTTTCCTTCCTCTCATGCTGGTTTTCTTAGTTCCTCTTAACACTACTGTCCTCAGTGGCATTACTACTAATTTCTTTTGGTGGAACCAAGCTGAGAATTGGGCCATAAGAGCAACGAACATTTCCAAAACCCGTCCTTCTTGACTTCTACGTGATTCATATACATGTAATAGTATGCTTTTTTTTTTTTAACTTTGAAGTACGGACCAGCTTTGGACATTGAATGAATTTTGCATTGGCATTGCTTCACTGGTGTGCACATTGTGGGCTTGGAGCCCTCGTCACTAAAACTTGTGAGTCAGGAAACGTGGAAGGCGTGTTTGTGAGGGGTGTGTGGAAGACTCTTTCGACTTGCTCTGAAATGTGTTTTTTCTGCTTATGGAAATGTTCCAGTTTTTGACTAATACCTTCCCAAACAGTGTCAGATAAAAGCCTTATTTTAACCAAAATACTGTGATGGAAAAAATAAATTTTCCTAGGGAAGATGATACTTGGAAAAGAAAAATCAAACACCCTATTTTTCATCAAAAACAGTTCACAAGGAAAATTTTGCCCAACCCTAATTGCGACCCATACTTGTTTCAAGGACCTTTATATGTTTATTCACAAAATGAGTTTCCAAAGCTGAGCTGAGCTGGAAGTGTGTGTGTCTCTCTCTCCTTTGAAAGCATACGCATGCCAAACACACAAAACATGTTTTGTATTGGAATAATTTAGTTTGCAAATTGGGAAGAAGAAATTGTCCTGGGATTAGGGCATGAGTTTTGAATTCAAGAGGTCCAGATTCAGATCCTTGCTGTGTTGCAGACATCTTGTGTGCAAATCGTGTAATATCCGTGTCTCCATTTCCCATCTGTAAAATGGGATAGTAGGCATGCCCTTCCTCACAGGTGCTTTGGGTTACAAGAGTAAATGGGTGCTGCTCATATACTGGGGTAATAGGGGGTGTATATGTGTTATAAATAGATGGATAAATAGCGGTATCCAAATTTGATCTGGATAAAATGTAGAAATATTTAGAAGGCAAAGTTTGGTTCAGTTTCATGAGAAAGCTAGAGGCCCTTTTCAAAATGCCGTATGCTTTTCGAACGCTCCCCTTCACCAAAAAAATACATGAAAGTGTTCAGGTTTTGGTGCCTTCCTATTTTTAATAAGGAATTTACAAGATCTCTGTGTTTGTGCCTGCGATGAAAAATATCTGCCTGCTGTATTCTCAGAGATACAAATGTGCTGACATCCAAGGAAACGTCCCTGCATTTAATCCTTTAAATAAGCCTGTTTCTTCCCCAACCCATATATCTGAAATGAGATTAGCCATCCATTTACAATAAAGCTACAAAAAGCGCCTTTAGCTTGGCTGAGCCTTTCTGGCTGGCTTTAAAATAGTTAACAGCCTGGGTTTTTTTTTCACTTTTAAAGGCATAAGGAGGTGTTAGACAACCATGGTTTAATCAATGTTGTTTTAAGCTGTGCCCTATCCACCCAAGGGAAACGGCAAGCCTTTCCATGACACTTTTTTTTTTTTAACACGAGCCAAAGTCTGGTATGCTCTGCCTCATTCCTTAATCTTTTTTTTTTTTTTTAATTTCATTTTGCTTCACTTGCTAAAATACATCTGAATTGAATTTGCCTTGCTACATGAAAAATAAAGAAATCTATTAATCCTGCACCGCGGCCCAAAGTCAAATAGCAGGGCTCTCTGGATGGGAACAAGTCGGTTCTCTCTAGCAGCGTGCACGCTCTTTGCGACCTCTAATGATTTGGCACAGCGATTGCAACTGCTGCTGCCGGGCTCTTCCGCAGCAAGCTGTGCAACTGAGTTACTGTCATCCATTTGGCCATGCACTGGCTTGAGGACTATTTCTGATTTTATTAATGAATCACAACAGGAAACGTCCAGTTTTCAACACTGTGGTCTTGGCAATAGTGTGCCACATCCTGAGACAGACAAGGAAGCACTTTGCTCTTGGTACAATGCTGGTAACTGAATTATGTCTCGGGTAAATTTATATTTCTTTCAATAAAGAGACTTTGATCCTCCTGTATTCTTCTCTTGAGCTCTTCCTAGCCTTTCCTGAAATCCGATTTTATCAGTGCTGTTTTTAAACAGGAGTTACAAAACTCTTGTTTTCTGCGACCAACCCTTGGTTTTGGCCTTTGCAGTTTCCCCCAGATATTGTCATTGCGTTACATAAGAAAATATGCTGTAAATGTCCTTGATGTGGAGTTAGAAATGGCTTTTAAAGAATTGGGGGCTTTTGGTACTGATTTGTGACTGCTGCAAATGCATCGGCAAATATAGACATGTTAATGGAAGCAGCAGCCTGTTTGTAAAGTTATTATGAAATCCATTGTCTCCCCAGTGACTGTACTAAAATAGTCAGTATAACAGCGATGGCCAACACTGTCAAAAATAGACACCTCAAGTTAGACTCCTTAATCCAAAGTCAATGGGGCTTGAACTCCTAAGTCACTTAGGTGCTTTGGAAAATCCTACCCTTAGGCTCCTAAGTCTTTATTTCAGTCCTGTATCTGACTTTAGGCTCCTATTTTCAGAAACTTTAATTGATGTTTTTAAAATAGATTGAAATGCAAATGCTGCCTGAACTGGAACTACAAGGTTTGGCCCAGGATGAAATATGTTACATTTACATAAATATGTAATTATATATAGACCACACACACTAGTAAATCAAATCTACATAGGATTTTGCATCTGCAGGTTATATGGCATAACCACATAGGAAGTTAAGGAAGTTTTCACCAGTCACAAGTGACTGGGACCTGAACAGTGGAAACAGGAAATGATTTTTAATCTGACTGTTTAAAACTCTGGGGCAGAGGGTGTTTTATTCTATTTTTCACACCCCTTTAACCCACATCCACAACACCAGTAGAGGAAAAGTCCTCTTTGTTAAAGGTTATGACATTTTCCCACCTCTGCAAAGAAACAGTTACCTGGTCCTCGCCAAATATCAAGAATAGGACAGATGATACTTGGTATTTCTTAACTCAAAAAAAAAAAAAGCCAGAAAAAGTTGCCATTGGGACATAGCTATACACACTTTCTGCTGTGCAGGTAACCTTTAAGTAGCCTTCAATATTGTCAGATACTTGCACTGCCTTTCGTAGCATTCACACAAGAATGGGAATTTGTACAGTCCGTCCTAAAACTTTCAAGAACAAGGTGTTTCAGAAAGGCTTTTGCACCAGCTACTGTGCTGCCATAAATGCAACGTACTGTTTCAACCCCAGGTAAATTTGCACCTTGCTTGAAAAGGACACGTAAGCAAACGTGTTTCCAAGAAGAGTTGGGAAGGGTTTTGTGTAGGAAGGGAGGAGCAAGGGATAAGGTATCAGAGCCTGTTCCTTAGTGTGCGACGTTGGCCAAGCGACTTAGGTGGAAATGTTGTGTGCCCAACTCGGGGTGCAGAGGCCGAGTCTTCAGAGCACTGACAGCCCCGCTTGGACTCGTTGGTGTGCTCCAAGCTGAGCATCCAGAAATGGGGGTAGCCAGATTTAGTAGCCATTTCTGAAAAAGTATTCTAATGAACCTCTGTGGATGTCTCAAACCATCTCTCAAATGGATATTTTAATGCTTAACCACAGTACCTCTGAGGGATACTCAAATATTTTATAAGGAAGAGTTCTTTAAGGATTTAAAGATGCTCTAAGGTCTGTGTCCATTAACACTACTTGCTTTTTATTTTATAGCATGCCTTGAGACTGTCTTTTGTTCTTGCAGGTCAGATCTTGCCAACAAATCGTAACACACCAAGCCCCATTGACCCCGAGACTATCCAGGTTCCTGTAGGCTACGAACCTGACCCCGCAGATCTTGCCCTTTCCAGCATCCCTGGCCAGGAGATGTTTGACCCTCGTAAACGCAAGTTCTCTGAAGAAGAGCTCAAACCGCAGCCAATGATTAAGAAAGCCCGCAAAGTCTTCATTCCAGATGATCTGAAGGTAAATTGGAACTGGTGACCACGTTGGTAGGGAGCAAGCGCTGGCAGCTGTGGTCTGAAAATGCAGGCTTTGAGCCTGAATCTGTTTCCTTATGCTGATGTGAAGCTGCAGTGACTCCTCTAAACCCAGTGGAAGTATGCTGTGGCGTCGCATCAAAGCGTGAATGAGACAGAGGGGAAGGGTAGTCTTCCTGGTTGAGGCCCTAGGCTGTAATTTAGGGGACAGGTTCATTTCCTATGTCTGCCAGAAACTTCCTACGTGACCTTGTGCAAGTCACTTAAGTTCAGGTCTTTATTTTCCCAACTGATACATCCTTTCACCCACTCTTGCTCTGTCTCACCAACCTAGGCCACATCTTCAGCACACCCGCAAGCCATCTGTCCTGCTCTGCTCTGGTTATGCTTCCTCAACTAGAAGCAATATAGCCTCATCTACGCACTGCCACCTTTAGGTAGCATAAGGGGAAGGACAGGCTAGTTGGTACCGACACTCACCTTTGCTGATAAGCCATGCGGAGGCAGCTCTCATGCTTGGAGTCCAGTAGGCTAGCCACAGCAGTACGCCGTGTCTGCAACCCAAACGTGGTTTTAGATTGTATAAACTCTTAAGGCAGGATCAGATCCGTGCTTTTCTGAGTGTCTGCGCGGTGCCAAGCACAGTTTTGCAGCAAGCTTATCGTTCCCTTAGCTCAGTTTGCAATAGAGGATAAGCACAACACTGCAACGTTGCTCTCCCTGAATCTATACGGAAGGGTCTTAATTAATCCAACTGTTGTACAGTGTGTCGAGACAGTGAGGCCAATATTTTGGCCCCCTTGAAGTTGTCTGTTACGTGCCATTCTCGCTGTTGCGCTGGAGGAGGGGAGGGTACATGTATAAATTTGCTATTAAGCTTGAGCCTTTGCCACCACCAAATTTACCCTCATGCCTGCATTTTCCGTGGGGATTCGTCACCCAAGGCTGAGCCCTGCCGTACTTTAGTGTGCTACTGCCTCGGTACGAATGAGCCAAGCTCCACTGATGTCAACAGGGCTCTCTGGATTTGGCTCCAGGTTCATGGATTGACATGTGTTTACACCAACTTGAAGGTGTTTGGGAAAGAGCAGATGCAACGCACTATTTTTGCCCTGAGGAAAGCACTGCCACTGTCAAGTGTCACTGCAAAAATCGTATTTCAAGTGGTAACCAAATGAGGTGTTGTTGCCTCTTCCTCCACAGCGTCCCCAGCTTTCATTCATACACGTTTCCCAACAGTAGAAAATGACTGCACCCCAAGCAGAGTCTCTTAGTGACGTCAGTGCCACTGCACTGAGAAAACGGTTTGTAGTGAGAGGGCCATCTGCATCAAATGCGCTCCAAGTTAGACAGCTGACCCAGGTATCAGGGAAGTGGAGTTTGCCCCACAGCTCTGATTGTTGTGCTGTGTTGTCTCCCATGTACCATTACATATAGGTTACATTCAGACTGTCATGGGAAGGTAAAAGGAAATTGCCAACAAAGACACCCTTGGAGTGTTTTGTATTGGAGATGGATAACTTTAGTGTCCTCCCTAGACAGAGACTCTGAGTTTTCAGCGTACGATTGAATGCAGAGTTCGGGGGCCCTTGCTCATCTGAGATGATCATATTGGTTGGCCTTGGCTCTTAACCAAATGCTGGTCCCAAGTCTGGTTTCTGTCCCAGCGTGCAGACTGGCTGTTGAGTCCTGGAGGAGGGTAAGAAGATTAGGCCAGTCAGTTGTCTCTGGGCTGCGTGTGACTCTGAAATGCCAGCTTTGCCTCTTTCAGGCTTGGGATTAAGGGATTTCCCATTGCAGTCTGTTCAAATAAAGATGGGTAAAGTCTTGGGGTGGGGGAGGGGATACACAAAATAATAAATTGCTTCAAGCTGATTTTTTAAGATGTTTGGTGTGTCCCATCCAAGTGTAGCTGGAAGGAGATTTTGATACACTAGGCCTCGTTTGCCATTTCCCTGCACCTCGTATGCTCCGTTATGCAGATACAGGAGGCGTAAAATGCTTCCACCCCACCACAGACGCATTGTGCAATGGCTTGATGTTGCTGCCAGGGTTGCCACAAGGTGCAGAGTAGCTTATCAGGACTAACCTGCTCAGTGCTGACAGCAGGTGCAGTGTTAAAATACTTGCCTCTTGCATGCAGCCTGCAGACAGGTCTCAAGACCAACGTGATGTTCTGCTCCTGCCCGGGGTGCAGCAGTTGTTGCAGAAGCAAAGCAGAGTGGGGGCCTCGTGAGTGCGTCAACCAGGCAGTGAAGTTCAGTTTAGGCGCTCTGAGCGGCGTTAGAAGTTGAATTCAAGTGTGCTAAGATCAAAGCAACGCCAACATGACTTCACGTTTCCTACAGCCACGGGTTTATACTATTGAAGGGTGGAAGAATCAGGGGAAGGTAGCTGGTGATGTGTCTTCTTTGACATGCAGAGTCTAAACTCCTAAAGGCAGCCTGAACTCCTATGACGCCTTAACGCTGTGCACACACTAATCCATGAACCATGCTCAGGACGGCGTGGGCAGCTTCTGGCAAACGTTCTGGAGAGGCGCTGACAAGGACCTGTGCATGGCTGTAAGATGGATGAAGCTGCAGCAACAGCAGTCGGCTTTTATTCTAGCCTAGCAAGCTAAGCACAACGGCTGCTATAAGGATCTCTGTTCCCAGGACCTGTTTATGCTTTCAGTGTCAGGGACCTCCTTCTTTTAAGCAATGTGACATCAAGCAATAATCAGTCCCTACTTTAAGGACTTGCAGTCCCCTTAGATATTGGAGAAAAGGATGCAGCAAACAGAGAGAGCAAAGTAAGCGGGCACCAAATCTACTGTATTGCCGCTGTTTCGTGAGAAGCTAAACAGAAAGGCAGTGGAGAGAAGGGGAAGGTTTGAAGATCGAGGGGAACTAGAACGAGGGGGGTGAGAGAAGAAAGGTGGAGGACAGGAGGAATGAGGGAGGCGAGGAAAGTGGAGCAGACGAGCATTGCCCAAAGCCAGAGCTGTTTTGGGGCGTTCTAGACCGGGGCCTGGAGATTTGCACTTCCAGGACCTGAGTCAATGGCACTGGTGATGTTCCTCTCATTGCACGAGGTTTTAAATCCACTGAAATCAGTGGCAAAATTCACACTGACCTCAGGAAAAAGCTGAAGGCTCCTGTTCCCCTGATCTGGCAGCTACCAGCCCCCTCCCCGAGCTCAGCCCCTACCATAGATGCTTGTCGGTGCTTGGAGCTGGAGTAACCCGAAGAAGATCAGGTGTGTTATTGCTAGATATGCTCCAGGTGCCCACTCGTTTTTCTTCGGGGAGCCAAGACAACGGTGAGCTTTATTATAAAGGCCTAATGGAGAGGTCTTCCCGCGTCGCCACAGGAGGGGCTACGGTATGCAGATTTAGACACCACCCGAAGGACTGGCACCGTCGGTATTCAGTGGGCAGTGCGACAGCAGTCAGCGAAATGCCCGCTACCAAGTCATCTCCATGGACTGAGACGTGACTGTGAGAAACGGCCCTTTGGGTCATTCTTGGTTTGCTGAAATCTAATATCTTCATTTCTTTCTCTATGTGCTTAATGAGCAGGATGACAAATACTGGGCAAGGCGTAGAAAGAACAACATGGCTGCCAAGCGATCGAGAGATGCCCGGCGGCTGAAGGAAAACCAGATTGCCATCCGCGCCTCGTTCCTGGAGAAGGAGAACTCAGCCCTCCGCCAAGAGGTGGCCGACCTACGGAAAGAGCTGGGCAAATGCAAGAATGTGCTGGCGAAGTACGAGGCTCGGCACGGCCCCCTGTAAACCGCGGGTTGCTATTGTTTTTTTTTTTTCACCTCCTCCTTTTTTTGTCGTGGGTTGGCATTTGCCTAGATGGACAATGTGTTTCCTGTTTGATAGCACCACGCCCAAGCCACCCTTTCTGTCATCAGCACTTTACCAGAAGCAGAAACAAAACTGACGTTCATTATTTTTCGTTTGCATGTGCGCGCGCGCGTGTCTGCATGTGCGCGCGCATGTGTCTGTGTGTGTGCACAAGAGTGTGTGCATATCTCAGCACTTCCCATTTCTATGAAGCCCTTTTCAAAAGGTGCCACATTTTTACCTGGACTGTTGAGAACTGCCATAGTAAGCTTTTTATTATATTTTCTTTTTCTTTTCCTCCCCTCCCCTAGTGCTGCTTCAGATTAGGAATTTTTTGTTATTATAACCAGTTCCATCCTCCTGATTTACTTGGAAAGATCCCAGTATAAATTAAAAAAAAAAAAAAAAGACAGAAAAAAAAAGTAGATCTCAGTTTTCAAGAGTAACAAGCTATTGTTTAAACATGTCTAATCAGAAAAGTTAACAGGCTAATAAAGTGCACAAAACATAATTTTAGAACTACACTGCAGAAATATTAATTTATAGATTGCTTTTGTTGTATTTTAAGTTTTGGTGATAATTGTCTTCAGATTTAAAGTGCTGTTAGACTGAGTTAGTTATACCTACTATAGCTCCAGTAAGGACTTATCGATATCTATTAAGTTTCCTTTACTTTCCACAATCCCCAGATAGATAGGAGTATAATTAATAGAACACAGAGTGTGGATTTTGCACTACCTGTACCTAAAGCAATAATCCTATTGTACGCTAGCGCATGCTGCCTGGGTGTTCCTAGTGGACGTAGGATGATTTCCCTACCTAATAAGAGTTTTAAATGTCTTTTAAATTAAAACCAAAAATAAAATTAAAAAGAGACCCATTGATAAGAGCATGCCAGGAGTATCCCTGAAAAAGGGTTGTGGGGGAAAGAGAGATGGAGAGAGGACAATTAGTTGAAAGAAGAACAAAATTAAAAAGTATCAAATCAGATTTGACCTTGACATTTTTTAGTTTGGGGTAATTTTGCACTTCTCAGAGTTCCATTTTGTGATTAAAGACTTAAATGCAGGGTTTGTTTGGGTTTTTTCCCCCCATTTTTTGTAATATTTTCTGTGGATTCTCTCTCACTGTTTTAAAATAACTTTTATTGAATTAGAAGAGACTATTTTGCAAACCGAACTTTCCTAGTGATTGTCATTTTGAATGTGTCATGAACTGATGGCTCTGAACTTTATTCTGTTGTTCTATCTCTCTCTTTGCTTTTGAAAATACATTCTATTATAAAGTGGACTTTTGAAAATGAATGTAAGAGACACTGGTGTATTTCAGAAGGGGATGGTGTTGTCATATACTGTGGTTAATCCAATCAATTTAAATGTTTACTATAGACCAAAAGAATAGATATTATAAAATGTATAAAGTTTATACAGAATAATTATAGTATGTTTTTGTACAGTATTTTTCAAGTACAAATACTGACAATGTATTTTGAAAGACATATATTATATATAGCAAAGAGAAAAGAAAAAAGCTATTCCATGTTTAAAAAATATATAGCAAAGATATATATTCACCAGTATTGTACAGAGAGGAAATGCTTTAGTTGGGTTTTTTTTCCGTTTTTTTTTGTTTTTTTTTTAACTTTAATATTTTAAGCCTACCACTGACACATCAGCATGTTTTGCGCTTTAAATTAATTTTTTATGAAAGTAATATGGCTTGCCAGGGTGCTTCATATTACTAAAACATAAGAGACTTTATTATTTTCTATTAGAAACATATAAACGTTCTCTAACACTGACAAAGCACAACATGAAGTTCAGTCAAACATCTATTGGACAATGCAATATTTTGTAAAGGCAGAAAAATAAAATTACTCTCACGCTCATTTAAAATCGGCTGCTGCTAGAATCGGTTGCCATCTGAAAATCTTTATAAACAGCCTTGTTCATTTTCTTGGCTCTATGTACTGCAAACATGTATTTACATGTGGGAAAAATATGGTGCTACATTTCTGGCGCTCAGTTTTCTAGGGTTTTTGACCTTTTTTCCACGTGAAAAGGTTATTCATTCCATTAATTCGTATTACTGCTTCAGGAGATTGTTACAAAGGACTCAACGTTTTGTTCGACATTAAACATATCTGTTCACCAATGGCAATTTTGCAGTTTTCTTCCTCAAGCATGTACCCCAAATCTTTACAGTCCTTTAACACAGGGTCCCTTTCTTTCCGGTGGCCCGATTATTTCAGTGGATTGAATATTCATGTGCTGCAACAGAGTTCAGAATGAGGAAAGTGAATTACTTCTCAGAGGCCAGTATAAACCAGATGAGATGAGCGAACTATTTGGACTGTAAGTGTCTGATACAAGCCAATATATCTACTGACTGTGAAACAAATGGATGTTTCTAAAAATGTTCTTTGGGAGCGGCAGGGTGCAACACATCATCCAGCAACAGGGATGCACTCTCAGCAGCAAAGTAGCATAGTGCAAGGGTGATTTATTGCTGGGGCCATTTCAATTGCAGGGGTTGCATTGATGATCATCAGCCGGTACGTCAGGAGCTAGGAAGCCCGGGTGGACTGCATTGCGACCCCAGTCATTTGTCAAAACACAAAAGGCAGCTGCAAAAAGTATAGACGATCACTTGGTCCTTCTTGGGGGGGAGGCCTGGGGAGAACAATTGTCTGGCTATCACAGATGCCTCTACTGGGGCGCAGGGGTGGGAGGATGAGCAAGATAGTCTTTCCATTGTGGGCCAGAGGTTCCTAGCAGCTACCTCGTCCAACACCACCAATGTTTCTGAGTCTGTTCAGGTGCCTTATATCTCGAAGTCGTACATGCTGCTGTCATAGAAGGAAGGTTAGCCACATGGGACCTGCACAATGTGAAAACACAGTGTTTGACTTGGAGAGACTCAGAATAAAGCAGGAAGGGCTGGTCAGTCCATAAGCTAATACTAGAGCTACACCCTGAAGTGCAGCGAGCACCAACGTTACGTCAACATTTCCATTAAAGCCGCTGTTGCCACCTCCACTTCGCAGATGTTTATAACTCAGTCATTTAAGCTAAGGCCATCAAAGGAGCCTAAGGGAGTTAGACATCCATCCCTTTTAGGGGGCGATGGGTACTTTCTCATTTGAAAATCCCAGCCTTAAAATCCACAGTCCTAGATAGAAGGGTTGGGAGGTTCTCAGGAGGTCACCTAGACATCACTTGGTCCAAGCCCCTGCTCAGGGTAGGATCCCCCCTAATTAAATCATCCCAGTACATGAAAACAATTGGGATAAAACTTGAAATACATTTTTTTTCCTCCTAGGTTGTATTTCCAAAAAAATTTTTTTTTTAAATTGGCTTGTATTCATCTTAGAAAGGGACTGTATTTAAGATGATCAGGATTCGGGTGGGGTGGGTCTCCTTGCTCCACAGGTACACATAGGTCTGTCGGAGTATAAGGTTGCTTAAAAACATCGAAATAAGTCATGCTAATTATAACAACAGCTCCAAGAAGAGCCCCTTTGCAATCTATTAAATAATAAAAATGAACTTAAAAATGCTTGTTTCTTGCTGGATCTTAATAGTAAATATTTGGAGGGGGGGTGTATGTTTTATTGCTTTTTTTTTTTGGTTTTAGTGTTGTTGTTTTTTTTAAATGCCACTTTTCAAATAAGAGAAACTAATTTCGAACCTGTTAGTAGTCCTCATCACCCTGAGAGCTGGGGTTTTTAGCACTCAAGAGCCAGCATCACAGAATGAAAGTTCTGACTTTAATCCTCAAAAGCAAGAAATTCAGAGCTAAGGGAACCACGCTGGGACTGATGCTTAACTCATTCTCCTGTGCCTCCCTACTGTAGCACAAATACACTACCTAATGTTAGACGAGCTCTGCCGAGGCTTCTGTGATAGCGCTACAAAAAACTGGATGAGCTAAGTACCGAAAGAAGAGCCTTCATTTCTGAATTAGCTTGCTTCTGTGGGTTTGTTGGCCTCTGTCATGCAAAATTGCTTTTTGTGTGCGCTTTATAAATATATATATATATATATTTTAAACAAAACCAAGCGGTGCAGATTATTTTTCTTGTTTTGTTTTGTTTTTATTTGAAATAAATATATTTAAAAAATAAATAAAAGTGATCAACCATTGTATTTCTGGCAACACCACAAGACAGCAGCTGTTTAAATACAAGTTTAACATATAAGATCAGTCTAAATGTATGACATGAGATGGATTGCATCCTGTATGCTGTTCAGCCCAAATCTTTGTCTGTTATTCTTAATGTTTAATAAACTTTTAAATTTTTCTTCTCTCAGCTGCATCTTTCTTTAGCAAGTCAGAGACCAGCCTGGACTCCTATAGCCTGTGCGCAGTGAAAGGTCCTATCGCACGTCCTGATGGCTCCATCACATATCCGCAGCATCGCCTTTTCATTGCAATTAACTGTTCTTCTGTAAATAACAATGTGAACCTATTCCTAAACCCCCTGCCATTGCAAGCCATCTAACCACAGCTGCTTCCCCGTGGCTAGACCAGGGGCGGGCAATTATTTTGGGCAGAGGGCCACTTACTGAGTTTTGGCAAGTCATCAAGGGCCTCATGATAGGCAGCCAGGGGCAGATAAATATTAATTTTCTAAAGTTTTCAGGGGCCCCATGGGCTGGATAGAATGGCCTGGCGGGCCGCATCCAGCCCCCGGGCCGCATTTTGCCCACCTCTATGCCTTAACTGCTAGTGAGGGTTGGGCATTAGGATCCCTGCACAGGACAGCAGGTAGGTTCCTATCTTTGTGGGCCTAAACTAACTCCTGGCATTATTTGCTTGAACTATCTATATGGTGTGCACAGTGACTATGGCTTAGTGGACTTGAGCTAGCCTGGGGGCTGGCTATCAAGCTGCTCCAGGGCGGGGGACGCCACGTGGGCTAATTAGCTTGCTTCTCAGCACAATGTGATTGCACGCTTGGATTTCAGTACCCCATTTCTACACAAGTCACTCTAATACTTATTTTTTTGTGGCTGGGGCGAGGAGCGGGAGTGCTAGGCCACAGGGGGCTGAGAGGTACCACATTAAGCATCAGCTTCTGGGAGCTAACTATAAAGACCTTCAGCTCTGTCTCATCATCTTGGGGTGTCGGGGTTGGGACAGGTCTTAATAAATATTCCCTCCAACTCAGAAGGGAAGACGCAGCAGAGGTGGTTAATGTCACGTCCTCCCATCCTTTTCCCTGCTGCACCAGTAGGTCAGAAGTTTGTCCATGTTGTCCATGCTGCGATGGCAGCTTGAGGTTTCTCGGTCTGTAGGATAGTGATCTCTCTCTCTCTCTCTCTTGACTTTTCTATGATAGTAATCGGATTACCCTGACTTGGCCCGCTTCTCGGGTGACCAGTCATACATGCATTCAGTAAATGTTTTGTTACTAGGCGCAGTGAAACAGAGTTAATACACAGCCAGCACAACCTTTAGAGACATGACTTAATGCCTCCATGTGCTTCTCCTCGACAGCAAAGGGGTTGCTATGTTCTTGTTCTCTCTAACAGGCGTGGAGGACCAGGGCTCTGATCATGCCAAAACTACCATCGGACTGGAATAATTACTGGCTGTAGCTTGCACTGCCACTCCCATTGTACACCCCTGGAAGAGGTTTGAGCTTTTGAGAAGAGCCGTGCATTGTTTGGGCTATGTTCAATTTGTGGTCCATTTATAACCCCCAGATCTTCTGTGGTGCTGATGCCTCTTTTGTACTGAGCTCTAGCTCTCGTGCTCTCCCAATAACTTAGGTTTTTTTGGATGCAGTCAGCTGTAAAAATAATTAAAGTAGTAAGTGCACTGAGCACTGGGACCGAGGGATACACTGAGCTGAAAAAAACAAACAAACCCCAAGCTGGGTTCTTTCTGCTTCTTTTGTCTTCACCAGGAACAACCTCATTTGCTACTTGGGTGAGGAAGTCACAACCCCAGCACGCAGGACCGTGGCTGATTGTGCTACTCGGTGCTGGATCAGCAGCGGTGAAGGACCTTGGGGGCTGTGATGCGAGAAGCTACAGCTCTGGGGCCAGATGTGGTCAGGACAGAGGCAACAAGACCCACTGTCACCTGTCTGATAAGCACCGTTGGTGTCAGCACAACCTGGACCCGTCCTGAACTCTGGCACAGACTTAAAAATAAAAGTGCAGGGTTTAGTGCTGCACTTACCCAGTAGCATCTGTCTCTTGAACAATGCCAGCAGCAGCGCTCTCTGCTCAGGTGGCTGTGAATGGGAAGGGGAAGCTGTGACTTCAGCTTACTAGGAACAGAAGGCAGGCAACCAAACCCCACTCCTTCAGCAGATGCTGCTTTCCGGCAGGATTTGGGTTATGGTGCCCCTTCTCTGCCTTATTTTATTTCAGCCTGGCCCACCGAGGAACCTAAAGCAACCTGGACGTTGCTGTAACGTTTACCACCCACTCCCGGGGACCAGCTGGAGCTCAGCAGCAATCCAGCTGCTCCCTCTCTTTCCCATCCCTGGCACAGTCTCAGTGGCGAGGCCAAGCTGGGCCAGGGTGACATCAGAGCGCCCTGACCCAGGGGTAATTCATAGCTGGACACAAAAAGTCAGCTTCGGCCCGCTGAAGACACGAGCAAAGAGCAGAGTTTGGCTCCCCTCGCTGGGCAGCGAGACCACAAGCAGCACAGCTGGCAGCCAGGCGTCAAAGGCCCTCGAGCTCCTTCAGCCTCTTTTGAAGTGCTGAGCTACTGCCCCAGCCGGCGAGCCGCAAGAGTTGCTTAATCATTATTTCTGCAACATCCCTGCTGCATTAATATGGATTAAGCTCGCCCCTCATGGCACAGCTTGCTCTGAGATGCAGTTGAGCATTTCCTCCTCCTGGACGGCAAAGCTGGGCAGTGTGGGAAGCTGAGGTCACCCAGTCATTAGTCCTTCCCTACACTTCATTACCGCCCTGGGTCAATGCTTGCTTCACTGCCTGCCTGTGCTGGATGGCAGGAGTAGACCTCACTAGGCCATTTGTGGTGTTTTATCCAACCAAACTTTTGTTTCATGGCCTCGTCACCCAGAGAGGCGCTTAATAGATGCTCCAAAATTTTCTCTTGCTCTCTCTCATCCTTTCTCAGTGAACTCATCCTGCCTCCCTAACGTGGGTTGTCAAGCTATGGCCTACAGAGCACGTTCTGGCTGGCCACGTGGTGCAGCCCCCCCCGTCCTTCACTTGTTACCGGTTGCTAATGAGCCAGTAATAGAAAAGTGCATGTGACACTTCCTTTGTGACATTTTTGTCCCCTTTCCATGTGAGCGATTACTCTAGTTGCTATTGGGTTATGATGGGAATCACAGGCAGGTGATGGTCAGCATGCTCACACGTGGGAAAGGTGGCAGCTGGGCTCATGAGCCACTCTCCCTTGTTGGATGTGGTTAGCTCTCAGGAACCCAATGTATAGCTAGCTTAGCACTGGAGGAGGGAGCCCAGTCCAGAGGGGTATCAATCCTAATACAACAAAGATAAATGAGTGAGCACTCGAGGTCGACTGACAGCCACTAGACGTTTGCCCATGTAATGCAGGGTGGACTTGGATGCAACCTCTAGCCCGTTACTTATCTAGATGCCATGTTCTGTTCATTGAAAGCAATATTAGTTCAACACTCAGAATAGACTCAGATGCCTAAGTCTCTCTCTTGGCTTTTTTAAATTTTTTTTGGATCTGGAACCTAAATACTTTCCAGGATATGGGCCAAAGAAATTATTAATGTGTGCTGAGCTGTAAAGTGACAGGACACTCTTGCACATCTCTTCCTGAAAAAGATTAGATGCATCCTGGAACGTGGCATTACATAAGCAGAGAGATTTAAGCCACCATTTGGGGGTGGTGAAAGAGCTCTTGTATTATGGTGAATAACAAGAGGTGTCGGCCTCACGCCTAAAGTCTAGCTCATCTGTTTTGAGTTGCATCATCCCCTGATGGCTCATGGAGCAAACACCTTTACCCTACAAATCTGAAATGTAAATTGCTTTTGTGAGGCCATGGCTTCAAGACAACAGCCACATCCCCAACCTCATGGTTGGCTGTTTAGAGCAGCAGCATCAAAGATACAGCCTGTAGGCTGGATCCAGCCAGCATCTGGTCCCCTCCCCGTGCTGGCCCCAGCCTGGACCCATACGCTGCCTGCAACAGGCATCAGACCCGCCCTGCGCTCTGTGAGGCTGGACTCGAGCACGTTGTGGGTGGCATGCACAGCTGGACTGGGCACAAACCACCAGCTGCACATGGCATGCCACATCAGCCCCATACCCTGGATCCAGCACAGCCTGAGGACTGACCTAGTGCCATGCATCCTGCCAGCAGCATCAGATGCGTGGGACGCCCCTGCTTTAGAGCCACCCGACTGACCCAAGCCCTCTCAGCCTCCATGGGAGGCAAAAGAAACATTGGTTGTGACCTTGGAGCCATGTCGGCACAATAGACTTCTTCTGCCCGGCTGCAGCACCCTTGAGCATGACTCTGTGCAGGCTGTTTCCTAAACCAGAAGTAGGCTAGCATCTGCGTGGCACTTCAAATGGCCCATTTAGCACCCCCCCCGTGTGACCGACGGTGCCTTTCTGCACCAGCTGAAATGCAGCTATCGTTATATTGTTTCTGGGCTAAAAAGCAGCCCAGCTGGACAGTGCGTTGGCGAGGACCGCTGCTGGGCTTGGGCTACAGGAAGAGGGAAGGTCCCATTGTTCAGCATCACCCCCTTGCATTGCCCTGAGCCCTATCTTATTCTGTGCTGACTCTGAAGAGAAGGAAGAGCCTATTGCATGGTGCAGGTAGGATGTAAGGATTATAATAGGCAAGGTTTCCCAGGAGATGAGGCCGACTAGGAGCTACATGACCCTGCCTCATCCGCCACAAATATTTGGGACAACTTTCGCCTGGGTGACATTAGTAAATCAGGCAACAGCTATTCAAGGCAGCACAAAAAATAAAGATGAGGCCAGTTGTACACACTGTTCTCATACAGCCCTGCCCAAGGAAGTCAATGGGGCTATTCACAGGAGCCTCTCATGAGTTTATTAACCCACCACACCCCAGGGAAGTAAGCATGAGGTCTATTTTACAGAGGGAAAAATGGAGGCACACGGGCATTAGGAAATATGCCCCAAAATGTTAGCCAACGCCCATTGGAAACTCCACTGAACGCCACAGGCACAGGCTCAGGGCTTTTCAGAGATAGGGACACAAGGACGCTAGTCACAAATCTTTGGGAGGGGAGGAACTGGCCAAGGGTAGGGAAGCCAGTATAGGATGCCTGGCTTTCACGTTCACGTT